ATTGGTCAATTTCTTACTCTTACTTCTTACTCCGTGTATTGTAGACGACGCCTCACTCTCAGCATCGATTAAAATTAATCTTTTCTGCCATCTTGTGCTGTAGCTGCCTCACCTCGACAGCCGCAGCAGCCGCAGTAGGAAATGACGACAACGTTAATGACGTCTTTACCCTCTCGCAGCACTGCCACGCGTGCTACGATGATTTTTGGAACGGTGTTGGCAGTACTGCCAGCGCTGACAAACAATTTTGGAACACAGCCATAGCCGCCACAGTTAGTAACATGTAATTGTCACTAGAAATCACAAGCTTACGCAGCCCTCGACTGAGTACGGATGTGTAGTGTTGTCGACGATAACGGACAATTGGAACGCAACTTGTGTTGCCGTGTGCACGAAAGTATCTAGGGATATTGCGATTGGGGTGGCATCCAGTTGGACACGGCTCAATTGGACACGAGCCACTCACAGCGCTTGAGACTACAAAGCTCCTAAGCACCGGTCGCTGTGATTGGTAGTGTCCAATCGGGATCACCCCTTGCGATTGGAAAGCACCCATTGTGACAGCGAAATCGAGACGAGACTACAGCACGAGTTACTATATCAAATATTGACAACAAAACTATAGCAAAAACCGATCACAGCCTGCCGTCACGACGCGAGACCACGGTTGCCAGATCCCGAGCACTGTACAGCTGGGGCCCGAAGGTCCGTGCGCTGGAGATATCATATTTCGACTGGAGGCCGGCCGATTGTTTCGGGAGGATCCGGTTTGCCTACAGTTCTGATTGTACACACCACTTATATCAACTGGTGCCTAGTAATTTTTCACTGTTTTGCCAATGAGATTATTTTATTTTTAAATTGGCCAATCAGCGATACATATGTGCAATATCCGATGTGTGCAATCGGAGCCCTCCCGATTGTTTCGTTGAAAAAAAAGAGAAAAAATGGTGCAGGGTTAATTTGTGTTTTGCGACTACTGTTGCAGACTTTCTTTTTGTTATTAATATTTGATCAACATAAAGTGTCAACACAATCACAGAGACTTTTTTATTATTATTACAAGATTACATATAGTACGAACACAATTACAAACTTTTTTATTATTCGTAAAATAACATAAACTTCAAACATTATCACAGACTTTCTTATTACTTTCCATGTAATTTAAATATGCAATTAATAAATACTCCACGCGAGCGAAAAAACTGGAGATTTTTCCCGTTTGCTGGAGAACTGGAGATTGGTCCCGAAAATTGGAGTCTCCAGTCGAAACCTGGAGACCGTGCGCGTGACATGACTACAGAAAACACGCATAATAAATATAATTTATATCATACATTTAACTTTTTGCATTTAACATTAACTAAATGCATTTTTATTAAAGAAGTTAATACATTTAATCAGAATAAGATTTTGCTAAATAGAAATTGTATTTTTAATTTTTTTTGTATCTTAAATAGTGTTAATAAATGAATAATTTTCCTTATTGAGAGAATTGTTACGCGGTTTTAAAAAAATCAATTTAATATTCAGAATTCTCTATAGAAATTGTGTCAGAAATTAAATCGATAAATATTACACAATTTTATTTTCACTAGCTTTAGAATTTTTGCTGTATTTTTATTAACGCTAGTTGGAATGACAGATCGTGTTCGACTGCTGCCCAATTTTTGCCATCATACTATATATAATAATATGTAACATACATTTACAGTGCGTGCTTCCGACATGTCTGGCTATTTGGGTATACTATTTAAGTACATACTATAAGTATATACTATACTTTCTTCTTTTTCTAACAATTTAACTTTCCTCGTGTAATGCATCAGCTGTCATCAGCTTGTAAATGTGCCTTTTCATGCCTACGCTCGACGCTCATTTTTGGCGTCAAAATAAGTCACGTGCAAAGACATAGAGAATGGACTGCGCGATCCGTATCTAAGGCTGCGTTCCACTAATGGTTACTGCACACTGGACG